TCCACGACTCAAATTTAACCCTCTTTCCAATCATGGACCGACGGTCATGTCATAAATCCAATACGTTTTTAACACTAATAAAAGACAGTATACTAGAAACAAAACTCTTTACAAAATTCCTAAATTAAATTAACTACGCTAGATTTATAATAATAATTAATTAAGATTCTCTCTCATTTCATGAACTGCTAGAAACAAAACAACCTCATTCATCTCTATCATCTGTGATTTCTGAGGATATAACATCATTTATCGAACATTTTGCACATAAATTTCGTAATTCAAACATACTAATATTTGATCAACAAACATACTGTATCGACATTAAGGACATGAGCAAGATATTACAAAATGAGAATATTAAAACATTTTGGTGTAGAATATTGACACTTTTAGTGAACACAAATTACTCAAAAGAAAAGTAATGGAATGAATAACTACTGGTTTGAATTGGTAATGGTTTTCATAACCAATATTTTTATACAATACCATTTACACAACTGATTAAATTTCCTTTCCCATAACTAATTTATAGTTGCATGTGCGGCGCGAGCGCGTACGCGTTCAGGACGCTGCCGAAAGTACATGTAATCTGTAAAATATGATAATATATGGTAGAGTGATAGTCGGTAGCGTATAAATCAGTAACATAACACGAGCGCGACGTTGTAAAGCCTAAAAACGTTAACCCTAACAAAAAGTAGTATTTTGGGTCATATAATTTTATATGTGAGGTCGGAAATACCCTATTCACATACTTTTCATCACATCGTTAATACCACTTGATAATAAAAGAAGTTAATAACAGATTATATTAAAGAAACGAGAAATAATTAATATTAATAATATTATACAAATAATTTATTTATAACATAATTTAATATATAATTGTAGGATTTTTCCATAAAAGTAGCCGTTACCATGGGTTTTTTTAACCGACTTCGAAAAAGGAGGAGGTATATTTTTAACCGACTTCGAAAAAGGAGGAGGTTACTCAATTCGCGACTTCGAAAAAGGAGGAGGTTACTCAATTCGATTAGTATATTTGTAACAACCCTGGGACCTAAGTTCAGATAGTTACAAGCGCTAAAAGGTAAAGAGCGGCTTTTACCCCTAAACGACTCGATTTTGCAAATAAAGATTGTGGGATTCGTGTGGTGTGCGGTTAAGGAGTGAAATCCACAGGTCAAAATCTTTCAACAATTAAATTTATTCAATAAAACGATAAGAAAATGAAACTAACAATTAACAATAACAACAAATAAAGAAAAGTATAGAAATTATAAATGATTAATTAGAATAGAGAAACTAAATAGATCTTGATATAAT